TGTACCTTGACTCGGGGCATCAGGTCTGCCAAACTTAAAATAACATATTAAAATGACACACATTTCTATTTCTATGCAATTAAATAATAACCCTTCTATTTACTGCTAAAAAAATTATCAGTCTTATAAATTAGAAATATTTGATCTCTTAAGAATATCAGTTGGGAAAAATAAGAACAATGGAAGGGGTGACATTCATCAAGATTTGTGGTACTTACAAACTAATATATTGAACTGAAACACCTTTGTATAACTACATAAATTTTTTTAAATATTTTTAAAGGATATTGAGAAATCTAGTTGCATTACTCAAATACATAGTAAATTCAAAATGTTAGGTTAATAACTCTTAATTACAAACATAGAACATATAGCCAAATAACTTATTCAAAGAATTTTGTCAATTTAATTACAAATAACTATTCTGAGTACTTCTACCAAGAGCTGTAATTATCTTACAACATGAAGCTCACTATTAAAACTTCCTCATAATACAAAGTATAAAAATCATCTAATTGGGGCTGGGAAGGTGGCTCAGTGGTAGAGCACTTGCCTTGCATGCATGAGGCCCTGGGTTCGATTCCTCAACACCACATAAGCAAAAAGAAAAAAGCCGGAAGTGGCGCTGTGGCTCAAGTGGTAGAGGGCGAGCCTTGAGCTGAAGAGCTGAGGGACAGCGCCCAGGCCCAGAGTTCACGCCCCATGACCAGACCCCCTCCCCCAAAAAATCATCTAATTGTTGCTATCATTTACATAAGTATTTCTTATTTTAGTCAAAATCCTAATCCTACATCATGTTTATCTAGGCTCTCTTTTCAGAATCTGAGAAGACGTAAATATGGATAAAGTGAAAAAAAATACATATACTTTTTATGCTATTTTCCTATACCCTTATTTTATCAGCCTTCTGGCATTTACTTTAATATGCATAAAACTGAAATGTCACAGCAGTAATGAAGATTTTAAATTACCAATATTTATTACAGGAGGCGGGGAGGGGGGGAAGCTGGGAAGGGATGTGAAGGGTAAACAAAAGGAGGAGGCTGCAATGCTTGGTAAGAAACGTATGCATTATCCTGCCCATGTAATTGTAACCCCTCTGTACAGTATCTTCACAAATAAAATAAAAAAATAAAATAAAATAAATAAATAAATAAAAGAAATATTAACCAAAAAAAAATATTTACTACATGACCAGACCTCAGGCACAAGGTGCCTTTGTAAATATTTCAGTAATATCTTCTCCCATTTATACTAATTACTAGTTATAAAAACAACTAACTGAACCAGGCACTGGTGGCTAACACTTGAATTCTAGCTACTTAGAAGGCTAAAAAAATCTGAAGCTGGTTTTTACAGTTAAAAGTCAGTGAGGCAGAGAAGTCTGAGATTTCATCTACCAGCAAAAAAACCATGCTTGAGGTGAGGCTAAAGTGGTAAATCACTGTTAAACAAGCAAACCAAGCAAGTGCCAAGCCCCGAATTCAAATTCTAGTACCAGCACATGCGCACACACGCACACACCCCAAACAGGTAAATGGTTAAAAATAATTATCAACAAACTAGAATACAGAATACAGCAAATAACAAAGAAAAAAAACAAATTAGTAAAGATCTTTACATAACAGGGATCAGGTCAACCAAAAGGTTATCAATTCAACTTTCAGAAACCAAGAAATATAACTATCAGAATATTCAACCATGGGCACACAAAGGTCTTTCTCAGTCACAGGAGTCTTGAGATTTATAGCACTCTACACAGATAGCAGTGAAAAACATAATTCTTTCTAATTCTCCTTCCTACTTACTCCTTTTACTGTCAATTTTATTCTTTCCATTTATTCTTTCTTTTTATTCTACTTTTAGTGACCAGCTTCAGACACTTACAAAAAAAGGAAATAAATCTTTTCTATTTTTTTAAAAAGTTGATTTCCAAATTCTTTTTTTTTTTTTTTGGGTCCGGTCATGGGGCCTGAACTCTGGGCCTGGGTGCTGTCCCTCAGCTCTTCAGCTCAAGGCTAGCGCTCTACCACTTGAGCCACAGCGCCATTTCCAGCTTTTTTCTTTTTGCTTATGTGGTGCTGAGGAATCGAACCCAGGGCCTCTGGCATGTAAGACATGCGCTCTACCACTGAGCTACCTTCCCAGCCCCAGTTTTGAAATTCTTTTTCTAACAGATTCTAAAATATCAAAAGACAAGTCATTTCTGTCCAAACACAGATAAATATTCCATATTTATGACTGTATGAATAGATATGCAAAGAATATTTCTCTTCATTTCTCTAGCTTGGCAAATACTATTATACCAACTTATAAGCAATGCATAAAACTTCATACAAGCAAAAAATTAACTTACTAACATTTGTGAGCATGGAAATATTACCTTAAGTCTTCAGTTATTGACTCTTCTATCCTGGGCTTCTTTCCAAAAATAAGTTCTTCTGTGCCTTCAAAATCTGCATCTCTCTTGTTTTTTCCACTATTAGTTGACTCTGGTTGTAACTTGACATCAAAACGTTTCCTGAAAAGTAAACAGCTTAAAATAAATTCTGTAGTAACAGTTCTGACTTAAGGGTTAAAATGTTGTCTGTATCATTAGCAGAACAAAATTGTCTTTTAAACAGATAAATGTTTAAAGTTAGAACTGGCTAATGCTCAGAATATTTGATATATAGCAAAAATGAACAATTTTTTACACTATTTGAAAGAAAAATATGTTTGGCTTGATTTGCTGGTAAAAGTAATGACAATAAATGGTGTTTGGAAGACTGCATATCCATAGGGAATACAATCAGATCTCTATCCTTTCACAAAAACCCACTCCATGTGCATTTTACATCTGACCCTGAGCGGCAAAAAGAAAACAGAAAAAACAACAAAAAGAATGAGAAAAACAGCTTCAGGAATTGTTAACTAAAATATGAAAGTATGGTAAACCAGACAATCTGAACAGCTGAGCACCAGTTGCTCATACCTGAAATCCTAGCTACACAGGAGGCTAAAGTCTGAGGATCAGGGTTCAAAGCCAGCCCAGGCAGGGAAGCCCAGAAGACACTTATCTCCAATTAAACACCAAAAAGCCCCTCCCTCCCTCCTCTGTCTCTGTCTCTCTCTGCCTGTGTGTGCTCCGCCCCCCCCCAGTTTCTTTACAACTTTATTAAAAGTAATTATTGAACATGTCCACATGGATGTATTATCATTTACTTTATCTCAAAACCTCTAAACTTCCCTATTTGCCCTCACCCTTATATCCAACTTGAAGAATCTATGTATTCTGATTTACTTTTCATTGTTCACCTTATTTAGGCCTGTCAATTGTTTCCTTGGCAAAATGTCCATCTTTTCCTTCCTTCTACCATAACCTCTTGGGTTAAGATTCTTCTGTCACAATGAGGTAATGGAAATACTTTCTGCTTGCTATTCAAGACCCCACATAATCTCAAACCAATTAGTAGTCCCAATGTTATCTCCTGTAAACCTGTTCTATCCCAACTTGTCTTTCTTAAATGTGTGTGTATGTGTGTATGTATGTATCTTGGTATGATTAATTTACCATGTGTGCAATCTAGAATGTCCTCTCATATATATCACTCATTCATGTCCATCACCTATTAATATATAACTCTTTAAAATGTATTTTATTTCCTTGCCTAAACAGAAGATTACTTGAGAGCAAAATCATGCCCTTTTTAATTAATTCACTTATTAATTCTCAACCTGGCCAAGAGTAAATCTTTATTGATGATGAATCACTTTATCTAATTCAAGAGTTTTTCCCAATTCCACCATAAACAGTTTCATAAACTTTATGCAGCAGTCTATATATAGGGTTTAGCAACTTAAAATGTAAAATGGATGCAGTTGAGATCTGAGGATCAAAGCCAACGTTTCAAAGCCAGCGCCGGCAGGAAAGGCTTTGAGCCTATCTCCAATCATATAAGCGGAGCTAAAATTCCTAAATGGAGCTGTGGCTCAAAATGGTAGAGCACTAGCTTCAAGCCCCACGACAATACAAAAAAAAAAAAAAAACAACCAAAAAGCCCGCGTATTTTCTAAGTACTCATTGTCATAGCTTCGTTAATTTTGTTAAGTACTAAGCACTGTCGGGTGCTTTAAGCCTACTATCTCAATCTTCACAACCTAGTGGCAAGTACTAATAAATCTCATGCTATCACCCACCCCCCAAAAAAGCTTAACTGGGCGTGGTGGTGCACGCCTATAATCCGAGGCAGCAGATTGCGAGCTCGAGGCCAGGTCCGGGACGTAGCTAGACCCAGTCTCCCCACACAAAACAAACCCGTCGGCGCGGCATGGACTCACTCCCTTCGGGCCGCTATTTGCCACCAGAAGTAACTGCAGCCGCAGGGCCGCTCCACACCCTCTTTTCCCTGAGCTTACTCGCCGTTCACTCAGCTAGCCCCTAGGTCTGTTTTCTAGAAGCTACCTGCGAGGTAGGGAGCTGGCAGTGCGGGGAGCCCGGGCCGGAGCGGCGGAGGCGGCGGCCGGGGAACACGGGGCAGTGGGCCCTGCTCCCACACCAGCCCTCCTTCCGCCTCCGAGCTCCCCTCCGGGGACGCCGCGGCTCCACACCAACCGCTTCCGCACACCTCCTTACCCGGCCTGGTCTGAAGACACGGGCAGTCCTTTCCATTTCCCCTTCTCTTTCTCTTTGTCTTTCTTGGTTCCTGCAGCCGGAGTCGAGTCGTCCTCGAACACGCTGAACAGCTCGTCCCCGAAAGCGTCCGCCATCTTCCGGAGCTGGGCAACCAGGTCTCTCTCCCGCCCGGGACCACACCGACAGTGACGTCAAGCGGAGGCTCAACGGTGTCCCGTAAGAGTCAAAATAGTCAAAATCGCCTGGCGGTCAGGCATTTTATCCTTTTTGCTTCTTGCGTGCTGTGCGTACTAACGTCACCGGACACACACAAACCTCTGGTAAAGAGGCGGGTCCTAGTAAATCCGACCAATCTAGAGGCCGCAGTCGCCGCCGCCTGCGAAACCCGGATGGAGATCGCTGGGTGGCGGCGCGGGAGCCGGCTGACCTGAGCTTTCCGTGTTGCGGCCGCATAGGTCCGAAGAATCTGCCACAGCTCCAACATGGGCGGCAAAAACAAGAAGCACAAAGCGCCGGGAGCCGCAGCGGTGCGGGCCGCCGTGTCTGCTTCCAGAGCCAAAGCTGCTGAGGCCGGAGCTTCTGCGGAAACCCAGAACAAGAAGGCTGTGTCCAGGCCGCCCCCAGCAGCCGCTGCCGGCGCCCGGGAGCCCCGCGTCAAGCAAGGTACAGGGCCCCGTCACGACCACCCTGCTCAGAGTCTCCAAGCCCAGCAGTCGGCTTCCGAACTTGTCTCTCCCATCCCCAGGGCCGCCCCTCCCAGGGATGGCCTTTAGATCACCCTCCACACGTAGGCCTCCAGATTGCCGTCTGTAGCCCTGTTGCAGCGCCAGGTCTCCTTTCGAGCTCACGCTTGATTCTCTTCCAAGAGCAAAATGATTGTCTTGCTGCTGTTTCCCCAGTGATCCATCCTGAGCCATTGTCAGATAGCTCGGCAGCTGCGGAAGCAAACAGCAGCGGAGTTCGACGTCCTGGGGTCAGCTCTGTTCTTTTTATCCATTCTGTATCATTTTCGGCACCGATGTAGTGTCTCCACGTGCTCTGAAAAAAAATTAAAACCGAATAAGAATTGCCGCACTTTACACTCTGGACGCTGGTGTAAAATGATCTGGGCTCTTCTGTGCAGCCTTGCCGTCTTGCTTGGCTCTGCAAATGGGCTTGATAACTTTGGAGATGCTGCAAGTCAGCAGGCCACCCTGATAGCTGATTGCAAAAGATCAGACTCGTACTCTGTCTTGTTCTTTTTGCTTGTCGTTCTTGTTGTGGCACTCAACAAATATTTGCTAAGTGTGTGTGCGCGTGCGCGCGTGCGCATCCACAAATATTGACCATATAGCTGGTGTGGTGATGAGATTAACGAAATAGAAATATCACCTCTCCAGTTTTCCAGTCTAAGATCAGGAAGTAGACATTAACTAATTTCACAAACAGACATGTTACTCTATAATTGATAATTTCCACAAAGAAAAACCTGGTGCTTAACACTGTTTAGTGGGGAGGAGCAGGTATGGGAATCATGAATTGTCTCTGAAAAAGTGACAAGCTGAGCTCAGAAGTATAAGGCAGAGCTGACTGTAAAGCATGATGGAAATAGTATTTCAGGCAGAAGTAATAACTGTGCAGAGACTGTGAGTTTAGAAAGACTTTGAGGCTTTTGAAGAATTCTTGGAATACAAACATTGCCAAAGAAGTAAAGGACATGAGACTGGAGAAATGGGCAGTCACTGACTGAGAAGCCTGCACCTGGAAAGTAGATAATACATTTTTGCCTGCAATTTGTTGTATTTTAAACTTCAAGGATGATATACTTGTAATTAGAAATTCATATTTAGCCCTTGCTCTAGTGTGTTACACTCTGTGGATCGGTAGCTTTTTTACTTTCCCTTTGTCTTTTACTGACATTTCTCAGAATACTTCTAACTTCCTGATAGTCATTTATTATACTCTTCATCTTTTCTTTGTTTCAACGTTAAAATGTTATCCTTTCTAAAGTATCTATCCTTGACTATTTCTTGTATATACTTGGTAATGAACTGTTCATCTGTCTGTGCTTCTTTAAAGGGATTACAGTTAGGCGAGATGAGGTTAGGGGCACCTCCAAAGCTTTGATAAAGTGTGCTAAGTTTGTGAATGAATTTACTATAACTAATGGGACACCCAGAAATATTCATTCCCTTTTGGGACTCCTGACTTGAATTTATGAGATTACTGGAGTTAAAGTAAGGCATACAAGTGGAAGATACAGAAACTAACCATGCTATATTAGAATTTATTTTATGTATTTATGTATTTATTTAATTTATTGTATTTTTTAAATAGACTGTCTTTGATATAGCTATCTAGCACAGCAGTAGTTTAGGGAGCCACAAACAGGTCTTGTTCAGAAAGCCCAAATGTAAAAGAACATTACCTACTTTCAGATAGTTATATTCATAAGAACTTGTTTTCTTCTAAAACATGTATGTTAGTTCTTTTATGTGTGTGGTACTGGGATTTGTGCTCAGGGCCTCATGCTTACTGAGCCAGTCTCCCCACCACTCCATTTTTGCTTTAGTTATTTTTCAGATAGAGTTTCACCTGTGTGTGTGTGTGCGCGCGCGCGCGCGCGCGCATGCGTGTGCATGTGTGGGTGTGCGCACAAGCACCCATGCGTGCCAGTGGGGGGAGGAGGGGAGGAGTGTTTGAACTCAGGCCTGGACACTGTTCTTGAGCTTCTTTGCTCAAGGCTAGTGCTCTACTGCTTGAGCCACAGCTCCATTTCTGGCTTTTTAGTGGCAAATTGGAGATAAGAGTCTTAATAGAATTTTCTGCTCTGGCTGCTTTCAAACCACAATCCTCAAGTCTCCACTTCCTGGGTAGCTAGGAGTGAGCCACCAGTGCCCAGCATGAGTTTCACATTTTTTTAAATCTAGAGCCAACCTCAGACAGTAAACATCATACATAACTGAAAACAAAGGCCCAGACTACCACATACCTGGCTTACTGGTTGATATGGGAATCTCACTTAGTTTTTGCATGAATGATCATGAATTCTTTCCTCTCAATTAGTACCTACCCAGCCTGTCTTTGAATTTTAAAATAACAATAATAGGTATCTAATATTTAGATATCTCAGTGGGAAAAAACTATTCCTTTTGTTAAGGACTATTTAGAGACTATAGATATACTCGACTAAAGATATTGAGATAAAATCTTCCTAAATTTAGGATGGACCCGAAATCGAATAGTGTCAAGAGAAAAAGCACAAAGATTAAAATGAAGAAGAATATGGAAAGAAATAGGTAGAAACTGGAGTCATGCTACCTCAAGTCAAGCAGCATGTGGGACCAGTAGAAGCTGAATAGGCAAGGAAACTTCTTGCTTAACCCTTAGAGGAGCTCTGACTTTGAGCTCTGGCCTCCAGAATTGTGGCTATCATATACAGCCACAAAGGGTTTGTGGCTACTTTTATGGCAGCCCCAAGAAACTATAATGTGGAAATTGGTTGCTCACTTCAGCAGCACATATACTATAATGTGGAAATTGGACTGGAATTCAAGGAAAAAGATAATAGAAACTCCTACCTCCCTTTCAATTAGCAACCTACTTTTGAAGAGGAGTGGGTTTTCTTTAGAATTACCTGTCTTGTCTGATAATGATCTTATGTTCCAAGAAGTTGCAACTCAACTAAATGCCAAGAAGAAATGCATCTGACTAAAGGCTAGGAAACTGAAAACAGATTTAACCTAATAGATATATAAGTGTTCAAATTTTAGAATAAATTGGTTAACCTAAATGAATGGTAACTGGTTAAATGATTTTTGAAAGTTCTGAGTATTATTGCTAAAAAGTAGATTGAATTACTTGGTGAAATGGGAAAAAGAGTTGAAATCAGATATTTAATATTAGCAATCTTTAGAGGAAAAATAAAATGGTACAATGGCTATTAATCATTAAGTTGCCTTGATTATTTGTTGTCTGTTATATACAGGTCCAAAAATCTATAGTTTTAATTCTTCAAATGATTCTGGCGGTCCGGCAAATCTGGATAAATCTATTTTGAAAGTGAGTAACCAAGGTTTCCAGAAATGCTCCCTTTAAAAAAAATGTATCCTTACATGTAAGAAGAATTTGTGTAAGTAGTACCTTTCAGGTTAATCTTGGCTCAACAGAAGTAACTCATGACCCACAGTGAGAGTCTGAAAGAATAGGACGGTATGGATAAGTCCCATACTTCTAAGCATGGCATACACATCCTTTCAGATCTGACTTAGAATGTGTTTCTTTGTTGTTGTTGTTGTCAGTCTTGGGGCTTGAACTCTGGGCGCTGTCCCTCAGCTCTTCAGCTCAAGGCGAGCATTCTACTGCTTGAGCCACGGCACTACTGGTTTTCTAGTGGTTTATTGGAGATAAGAGCCTCACAGATGGGGGGTGGGAGGGTGGGGAGGGATGGTCTCCCGGGTGGGGTGGGGTGGGGAGGAGATATGAAGGAATGGGAAGGGGAAACAAAGGAAACAACAATGCTTGATAAGAAATGTACTCATTACTTTGCCCATATAATTGTAACCCCTCTGTATGGTATTTTCACAATAAAAAAAAATAGTTGAGATTTCTTAGTGCAATATTGATATTTTGATATACATATCAAAAAATAAAGTATCTGTATTGCTTTTTTTTTTTAAAAAAAAAAAAGAGCCTCACAGACTTTCTTGCTCAGGCTAGCTTTGAACCCTGATCCTCAGGTCTCAGCCTCCTGAGTAGCTAGGATTACAGGTGTGAGCCACCGGCACCTAGCTAGAATGCTTTTCTTACTCTCTCTCCATTACTCTCCTCCACTTAGAACTTTAGGGCTGGGTGCTATGGTTTAACTCTGCTTCAAAACTAACATAAGGGTTTAACAAAGCAAATACCACAGAGTTGAAACATGTTTTGTCCTGGGAGTGGTGGTAAAGAGGAGGGAAGATGAAAGAAGAAAGGGATGGTAGGTGACTATAGTCATTTTATGCCAGATAACTTGAGAGGCTAGGTATTGAGAGATGGGGAAGAAATGATGGTAGGAGTAACATTGATCAAGATGCATTGTACTTATAAACTGGTACGTTGAATTGGATCCCTTTTGTACAACCACATAAAGATTTTTTTTTAACTCTAGGCCCAGGTGCTGTCCCTAAGCTCTTCAGCTCAAGGCTAGTGCTCTACTGCTTGAGCCACAGGGCCACTTCCGGCCTTTTCTGCTTATGTAGTGCTGAGGAATCGAACCCAGGGCCTCATGCATGCAAGGCAAGCACTCTACCACTCAGCCACCTTCCCAGCCCCACATAAAGATGATTTTTTTTAATAAATAAAATTTAAAAACTTTAGGGCCAAAGATATAGCTTTAATTTGCCCCAAATGCACAAGGCTCTAGGTTCCATCCTCAAGACGACATTTAAAAAAAAAGAAAGAAAAAAAAGAACCTTTAGTTTGTGGGAAAATCATTATTTCTCCAAATCCTATTATTTTAAAACCACATGCATTTCTCCATCTCTGCATAGAGTATCCTAACTCTCCTTTCATTTTTGTATTACCATACTTGGTTATATTGTTATATGTTATATATTTATGTTTCCTCATTAGAATGAATTCCTGAATATATATTTGGCATTCAGTTAAGTGATAAAGGGAAGGTAATTTTTGTGAGTATTTTATTTTCTGAGGTTAAAATATCAATGGAACAGAAAATAAATGGCTAATGTGAGAAAAATGTATGACTCAAAAGATTTTGTATCGGCCAGGATTTTGTTTATTTTTGTTAACATTTAAAAAGTCTGTATAGCATGACAACTACTTAAAGGGGAGGATACGATTTCTTTCTACTTTTAAGTGATACTGTAACACCGTAGGCAAAGCAGATTAGTCATGCTTTTTTCTAGTTTCACCTTGGTTTTGGACAGGTGAAGATACTGTTGTAAGCTGTAACATGACCAGTTTATGGTCTCAAGTGTTTAGCTATTAAGCCAGATTCCTTAGCAGACCAAATCTTTTGTCATTGATGTGTTCTGACACATTACCTTAATGTTTAAAGAAATTTTTTTGTTGAAATGGCTTGAGTTTCATCAGAGAGGGTCCAATTAATTTTTCATCACTTGTAGTTAATGCTGCATCTAGAAATCCTCTAGAAATGTGTTAGGCTGACACAACTTGATGGAGCTCCACAGGGCTTGTTTTCCAAAGAAAAGCGTACCATTTAGAGAAATACAAATAAATTTCCCTAGATCTTGTGTTAAAAAACGTTAAAGCCACTCAGCAGTAGAGTTTGTATATGGAGATGTAGTGCGCTCACAGTGTGCTTTAAAGGGTAGCAAATACAGATAAGTTTTTTAAAAAAAAGATTTTGTAACCTAGGGCTGGAGTCATAACTCAGGTGGTAGAACACTAGCTGACTGAGTAAGCCAGTTGAGCAAGCAAGAATCCTTGAATTCAAATCGAGGTGTATATGTACATTTTCTTTTCCTTTGGTACTTTTATTTTTTTATATCCCCAGTTTTAGAGGAGCATTTGTTCTGTCAGGCTCTATGCTTGAGCTGGTTTTCTTAAGGCAGATGTCTATTCTGTTTCCAGGGATTCTGATTCAGTATATTTAGTGTGGCTTAGCAATTTTTATCATAGCCACCCAACATGACACAAGACAGTGTGTTGAGAAATTGACATCAAGAGGCTCTATAGGAGGATTTTTGTTCCTTGGCACATATAGTTGCTTTTTTCCAAGTCCCAGGTTTTTTTTAAGATGGTAGAAATTCATGTTAATCTCAATAAAAAAAAAAGAAAAAGGTATTTTCTATATCGACTTATAACTGAAATTTTTAGTTTGGTTGGCATAAGTAGTCAACAAAACTGATTACTTTTTTACTTTAAAATTTAACTTTTAACTGGTATAACCTTTTTTTTGCCTCAACAGGTGGTAATTAATAACAAATTAGAGCAAAGAATTATTGGAGTGATCAATGAACATAAAAAGCAAAGTAATGACAAAGGAGTGATTTCTGGAAGACTTACTGCCAAAAAGTTACAGGTATTTTACAAACTTTCTATACATCTAAACTTCCATACTTATGATCATGGCATAGAAATGGGGCTTTCTCACTTGTGCCTCTGGGCCAGAGTCTTGCTTCATAGCCCATCCTCTTACTTCAGCTTCCTTAGTGCTGATATTATAAACACATGCTACCTCATGCAGCTTAGTGTGACACTTTTATGACAACTCTACCTAGATAGAAATAACCTTTTCTACTTCCATGGAGACCTTATATACATGGTTTTAAAAATAACATTTTCCACTTTCATGGAGATCTCATATATAGATCTACAAGAATAGGGAAAGAATTGTACTAAATCAAGGGCATACATTGGAATGATGATAAGAAAACTGGATTACATTCCAAAAATTATACTATCCAGTACTCTGTGCCAAGCACTTTGCTTATTCTGACATTGTAACCTACAAAATAGATATATTTGGTATCATTTTTTCAAATGCATAAGTAAAGGCTTTAAAAGTTTACCAGTTTCAGCCTAAGATTATTAGTAAGCAGAATCTGCCCAACTCCAAAGTTTATGCTATTCAAAGTGCATTATAATATTTATATCTAATAATGTTCATTGGAACACTGCTTACATAATAAAAAGGAAAAAAATACCTGAATGTTCATATAGGAAAGTATGTGGCTAAATAATGAAATACCAATCCAGTGACATATTATTATGTAACTATATATGCTGATGAAGTTTCTAATGATTTGTTGTTTATGTTACAATGTTAAATGAAAGTTGTTTTACAGAATTGTATGAAAGAAATCATACACACTGTAAGCATTATATTTGCATAGTAAAATAAATGGTTAATTTTCTTTTTTCATTATTTGTAATACCGGAGATGGAACCCAAGCCTTGTTTGTGCTAAGCAAGCATCCTACCATTGAGCTATATCCTTAACACTCCTCCAATAAAAAAGGTCTTTTTTTTTTTTAATTCTCTCTCTTTTTTTTAGCAGAACTAGGGTTTGAACTCAAAGTTCTTGAGTTTGCTAACCAGGGATCCTTTCATTTGAGTCATGCTTCCCACCCTGTTATTCTTAAAATTATAATTTTTGTCAGTTTCTAGTTTATAATTACTGAGAAGAAAATTTGAGATGAAAGAGAAAATTGACAGTTGTGATTTTTTACATTTCTCTTTCAAAGGATTTATATATGGCTTTGCAAGCATTTTCATTTAAGACAAAGGACATTGAGGATGCCATGACCAATACACTCTTACATGGAGGTGATCTTCATTCTGCTTTGGACTGGCTCTGTTTGAATCTTTCAGATGGTAAACAACAACTCATTAAATCCCTTCCATTTCTAAAACTTTTTAAAATAGTCTCAGTATTTGTATCGATCTTTATAATAAATTTTCAGTTATAATTATTTACTCAAACTATTTCTTTTTTTATTTTGTCAGTTGTGGGGCTTGAACTCAGGACCTGGGCTGTCCCTGAGCTCTTTAGCTCAAGACTGGCGCTCTACCACTTGAGCCACAGCACCACTTCCTACTCAAAATATTTCTATCTGAATTCATTCTTTCTGGTATATTCTTCTTAGAGGTTGTGGTGTATACAAGAAAAAGTTACTTGTGTGTTTTTCAGTTTATCATTATTTTTATAATGTACTTAATGCAACAGATTCTCAAACTTCGCCTGTGTAGCATGTATTAGGCTATATCTTCTAGGTTTTGGTTTAGAAATTAGGATTGTCCTTGGATAAATAAGCAGAGGGTCATGATTATACTAAAGTGCTAGTAGCTTTTGTGATCGATGAAGGATGCTTCCATGTGTTATGACAGAGCCATCAGGTGGAAAAATTAACATCTTTTTTAAGAACATTTGAGAGCCTGGCAAAGGTGAAAGTAGTGACTATATAATAGTAGGCTAACTAATCAATCCCCACCCACTTCTAGTTTGACAAAACTAATTAATCCTAGTATTTTCTTCTTATGAGAAGTAGAAGAAAATTCAGTTCTCTGTGTTTTGGTTTATATGTATACTTTACAAATACTTGTTTTATGTATCATATGTATGTTTATTTTCAACACAGTTTGTTTTATCTTAAGATGCACTTCCTGAAGGATTCAGTCAAGAATTTGAAGAGCAACAACCTAAAAGTAGACCAAAATTTCAGTCTCCTCAAATACAAGCTACTATTTCACCTCCATTACAAACTAAAACTAATAAACGGGAAGAAGACCCTAAGATCAAGGTAATTATAGAACAAAGTATTTAGGCTGGGCTTCGTGGTGTACTTCTATAATCCCAGAACTCCAGAAGCTGAGGCATGACCATAGAAGCTTGAATCTCAAAAAGAATTAACACTTAGCTGGGCACCAGTGGCCCCCACCTGTAATCCTAATCACTCAGGAGGCTGAGATCTTAGGATGGAGGTTCAAAGCTAGCCCAGTAAGACTCTTATCTCCAGTTTACCATCTAGAAGTCAGAAGGAGAGCTGTGGATCATCTGGCAGAGCACTAGCCTTGAGGACAAAAGCCCAGGAACAGTACATAGGCCTTGAGTTCAAGCCCCAGGACTGGCCCGGAAAAAAAGAATTAAGCATTTAAAGTTTCATAAAGTCAGAATGAGGCACATATAGCTCATAAGAATGTAAACATTAGACTTGTATATTACTTTCCTTAAAAATAACTGGTTTGGCCGGGCGCTGGTGGCTCACGCCTGTAATCCTAGCTACTCAGGAGGCTGAGATCTGAGGATCACGGTTCAAAGCCAGCCCAGGCAGGAAAGACCATGAGACTCCTATTTCCAATAAACCACCTGAAAACCGGAAGTGGCGCTGTAGCTCAAGTGGTAGAGCGCTCGCCTTGAGCTGGAGAGCTAAGGGACAGCGCCCAGGCCCAGAGTTCAAGCCCCACAACCGACAAAAAAATAACTGGTTTGCCCTACTATCACTATCTCACTTATCTATTGTTGCACAACAAACCACTCCAAAGGATAGTGAATGAGAAAGTACTTTTCTTATTTTTTTTATAATTATATAGTCTGGGGCAGGTTCAGTTTAATAATTCTTTTGCCAGTGATACCTTCTGTGGCTGGAATATCCAAGCTGGCTGCTTTACTCTCATTGCTAGTGCTTCTGCTAGACACTAGCCATTCATCCCCTATCTACACGTGGTCTCTCCACAAGCTTTTCTTGACTTTCCTCACATACTCCTTAGAGAAGTCAGACTTCTTTTAAGCATCTGGCTTCTAAGAACAAGTATAGTTGTCCCTCAGTATCTGTAAAGTATCAACTTAGGACCCTTGAGGATACTGTAATGTACAAGTACTAATCTCATTTAAATGACAGAAAATTTGGCATAGCACCCATGTATATAATCATTCAAAATTATTATGTATAGTATAGAAATATACAATATTATTATAGTCCCTGATATAATGTGAATGCTAAATGGTTTGCGAGATAGTATTGTTTGAGAAATATTGAAGCAGGAAAAATAGTCTCCGTGTTCAGTACAGACAGCATTTTTTCCTAAATACCTTGTGTATGAGGTTGGTTGATTTCAGGCCTATAGAACTCACAGATACAAAGGATCAGCTGCATTTCAAGATGATGAGCAAAGTGTATAAATTGTATCAAGCCCTTGCTTACATAGTTGCTAATGTTAAAGTAAGAGGCATGACCAAGCCCAGAGTTTCTGAAATAAAATAAAAGGAGGACATGAATACTGAGAAGGGTAGTTGATTGGGGCATTACATATTATCATATTGTCCTTTTAAAGGCACTTTCTAAGGAACCATGTTAGGGTTTTTTTGTTTTGTTTGTGCTGGTAGTGGGACTTGAAATCAGGGCCTGGGCTATGTCCCTGAACTTTCGTGTTTGAGGCTAGCACTCCACTACTTGAGCCATAGCTCCACTTCTGGCTTTTTTTGGTAGTTAGTTGGAGGTGAGAACTCACAGGCTTCAAACCTGGATCCTCAGATTTCAGCCTCCTGAAAACTAGAATTACAAATATGAGCCACCATGCCTGGCTTAATATTAGTTTTTAAAAATAGTTTTTTCATTCTTTTTTAACTCTTTATGTAAACATATTGTTTAGATTTTGCAGGTTTAGACTACTTAGGGAAATATTGTATTTAGTTCATTTGTCCCTTGCTGAATAATAATAATAGGATTTTGAGACTTATGTTTCTATTTTACAGTGAACAAATGGTAGAAGCAGAACCTTGATAGTTTAATACTTTTTCCAACTTTAATTTTTCAGATATTTGTTTTTTTTTCTAGCCAATAAAGGAAGAAAAAAATATGGAGGTAAATATGAAAGAGTGGATTTTACAATATGCAGAACAACAAAATGAAAAAGAAAAAAGTGAGAACTCTAGCAGTTTAGAAGAGGAAGAAAAATTTGACCCTGTAAGTAGAAAAGTAAATGGTGCTTCTAGCTAGATATTACTAGGCAAAATATTCAACTTTTCTGACTCTTGCTTTACTCATTATAAATTAGAGAAGAACCTCTGAAATTGATAAGAAGATGGAACAAAATAAATGTAAAAGCTGAGCAAACTGTTTGTTCCATAGCTATTAATTATATTGGTTCTAAGCTTAAACACATAATCCTCACATATTTTTAAGTGAGTCTTCTGTGTGAAGAGTATGCTAGATTCTTTGTGTAATAAAACATACACTAAAGCACATTCTTACAAAGGAAGTCCATAATTTGGAGAAAAAAAATCATAAGATAAAAATACACTGCTAGGTCAATGAGCTAGGTTTTTGTTACTGGAAAAATACCTGAGAAAATCAACTTAAAAGGTGTAGCTCTTTATTTTGGCTCATGGCTTCAGAATCATTAGTCCATGGTCAAAGGCCTGCGCCATCATTTTAGAGATAGTGGGGAGGCAGAATCATGATAGGAGTAGAAGTGGAGGAGCTGCTCACCTCATGGCATGCCGAAAGCAAAGCACAGAAAAAGGACTAGAATCCCAGTGTTGTTTTCAAGCCTATGCACCCAGTGACTAATGAGCCTTTGGAGGACATTTAGGATTCAAACTGTTAAAATGAAAAAAGCATATTACAGGAAGAAAATAACATGTACATTTAATAACATGTATCTGTTTACAATTATATGAAAAGCTTTCTAAAAACAGACACCTTGCAAAAACATGGAAGGCCAATTGATATGTAAAAAGTGTTTTTTAATCTTTAAAGGAATGAAAATTACAATGAGATACATATCCATCAAAATGGCTGCAATTTAGAAAATCAGTAATAGAGAGATAGAGTGACTGGAACATTCATACTTGCTAAGAGGAATATAAAATGGTTCCAATCTGGAAGACTTGTTGGCTTATCCACATAAAATTAAATGCCCTCCAACTGAGCGGTTTCATTTATAGATATTAAGAAAAATGAAATCATTGACAAATTTTTATAGTATAAAATGTTTATACTGTAAACATTGACAAATGTTTACAGTATCTTTGTTCATAGTAAATAAATACTGTTGTACATAGCCAATATGGCTCTATCGCTTGAGCTGCAGTTCCACTTCTGGTTTTTTGGTGGTTAATTGGTGATGAGTCCCACAGACTTTTCTGGTGAGGCTCACTTGAATGAGCTACTTATCCTGCGTAGCTAGAATTGCAGTCATGAGTGACCAGCACCCAACTTTGTTACACACATTTTTCTCAGAAGCCCCTTTTTAATGTATAACTTCCATTTCTTTAATTTCTCTATGAAAAATTCCTAAAAGTAGATTTGCTCTTTTATGACATTGTATTGACCATAGATAAGCTAATCTTTTTTTTTTCATTTCTTCCTCATTGTTTTATTTGGAACAGAATGAAAGATACTTGCACCTTGCAGCAAAACTTTCAGATGCAAAGGAGCAAGCAGCTTCCTTTAAACTAGAAAAAAACAAGCAAGGACAAAAAGAAGCTCAAGAAAAAATAAGGAAATTTCAAAGAGGTAAAGATTTTCAAATTCCTCAATGGAAAAATATTTCTGTTCTTGTCTAACAGTTTATAGCTGAGAGTGTCCAGCCTTTTCTGTAGCAATGCAAATGGTTATAAATAGCATAGACTTTGTGGATCGGTCTGTCATAACTTCTCAACTCTGCTGTTACAACATAAAAGAAGCCATAGATAGTAGCAAAATGAAGACTTACGTTCTTATCAGACTTTATCTATGGAAACTTAGCTACACATGTCACCAAGTATTCTTTATAGTTTTTCAACCATTGGAAAAATATAGAAGCTATCTTAACACACAGGCCATATATAAACAGGGAGTGGGCCTGAGATTTGGCTTGCAGGCCATAATTTGCCAACTATAGATTTATACCATAAAATAGCATCTCCATTCAAGAAAGCAACACAAATGCAATCTTACATGTATTTATTTCAGATGAGTATGTTCTTTGCAGGCCTACCTATTACATCTTTTAAATAAATTACCTATAAAAGCTAATAGCTTGTCTCTAACCTCTAACAGACTACCTAGTAACAATTATTAAGTAATTGACTCCAAGAAAAAGCAGAAGCCTGTTTTTAAACCACTTTTGCAAAATAATAAGGCATAAATACAAATACATGAAAGACATCTTTTCCTTGGCAGAAATGGAAACTTTAGAAGACCATCCAATATTCAATCCAGCCATCAAAATTTCACATCAGCAAAATGAAAAGAAAAAGCCTCCTGTAGTCACAGAAGAAGAAAATGCTTTGAACTTTAATTTATTTGAAAAATCTGCTGTTAATGAAGAGCAAAAAGGTAAAATAAAGGAAAAGTGGTCCCTGTGTAATTTATTAATAACAAAATACCAAAGATTATATCATTATAAAATTCGTTCCTTTGCATTCTTATGATTTCTTAATATTGGCAATGAAGTCATACTTTCTTTTTTTAAGTAGGAAAAACCATAATAACTCACTTACATAGTATTCACAACTATAAATGATGTGCTTCAGTCTCATGTACAGCCCATTCTCCTAATTTGTACCAGCTTTGTTTCTGTACCATAGCTCTAAATGTGAGTTTCCTGTTACAAACTTATTTTGGTTTTGGTTTTTTAAGGGGTATTTTTTTTTCACTGCTTAGGATCAGACTCAAACTTCAGTTGACTCCATGTCTATTGACATCAGTAACAAGCCAAAACCTTTTCTATGACATTGAGATACCTTGCATTCTTCATACTCGAGCTTGCCACTTTTTTTTTCCATCTGGATGCTCTAGCTACATAATTCTTTACATTTGTTTTGAATCTTTATTATGCAGAATAATAGGTGCCGTGTGTACAGTAATTAATAAAATAACCCAGTTCCTTCTTTAGGAAAGGTAGCTTTAAATATACAAATAAGTATATATTTTAAAATTGTGATGTCTCAAAAAAATATTGACTTTTGATAATCAAGATGACCTAGTTTAGACTGGGGATACCTTACTGATATTTAACTCTTGACATCTGAAAAATGATTAGATGTTATCCTGGTGACAAATTGCTGGAAAGAACCTCCACTTTAGAAGTCTAAAGTGAAAGGAAGTGTTTGCACCATAACTCCTCAACAGAGCTTTCTAGAATGGAAAGGCTCTATTTCCACTGTCCATCGAATATGATAGTTACTAGCAAAATAAGAATAATGAAGACCTAAAATGTTAGTGGCTGGGCACTGGTGGCTCACACCTATAATCCTAGCTACTCAGGAGGACAAGATCTGAGGATCATGGTTCAAAGCCAAGCCAGGCAGAAGAGACCCTGAGACTTGTCTCCAATAAACCACCAGAAAACCGGAAGTGGTGCTGTAGCTCAAGCAAGTAGAGTGCTCATCTTGAGCTGAAGAGCTGAGGGAGTGCCCAAGCCCAGAGTTCAAGCCGCAACAACAACAACAAAAAAAAATGTTAGTGTATCTGAGAAAATAAACATTTAACTAACCACATGACTACTATATTAAGCCAGGCATATTAAGAGTATCTGGGGAATTGTCTGAAGGCTACTGTGATCACAGTATATAGGGAGTTATGGAGAAGGATTATAAGTGAAAAGCAGAGGTGGACCATAAAATCCTTTTAGGTAATAGTAAATATCTGTAGTTTACAGCTTATGATGATGATGGCAGTGGCTGTGTTAAGAAGGAATAAGACTTCTGGTTTATATTTTTATAATGACTAATGATAGGGCACCTACCAAATGTCATTCTGATAGATATTTTGTAAGAATATATCAGTTTCTCAAGATAATTTCTTTCAAAGATTCAGAATTTTATATGATTCAATAGTCTATTAAAAGAATTACATCAGCTGTGGAAAAGCAAACCTTTTTATCCTATCTTTATCCATTCTCTTCTGAAAATGATGTTCCCAAAAATGGGAAGATTTCAGTCACTCAAAAGAGAATTTATATTGCTGCATAACCGCTATTTTAAAAACGAATCTTTGTCTGCTGTTTTAGATAAAAAGAAAGAACCCCATGATGTAAGAAATTTTGACTATACAACTCGAAGCTGGACTGGAAAATCTCCCAAACAATTTCTGATTGATTGGGTTAGGAAGAATCTTCCCAAGAGTCCAAACCCTTCCTTTGAAAAAGTTGCAGTAGGTAGATACTGGAAATGTAGGTATGTTTTCCTGGTTAACTGGATGAACTTTTAGAAAGAAAAAGTAAAGTGAAAATATTTCTATTTCTTATGAATTAAATGGACATGGAGGAATGCATAATCCCCTATCTTGGGTTCGTAGTGCATATAAACCATCTAGGCTAGGTATAACATTTATGCCTATAATCCCAACTACTTTGGAAACATAGATCTGGAGGATTGAGGTTCAAGTCTAGAACAAAAAGTTTGGAGCAAAAAGTTAGTGAAACTCCATCATAACCTACAAAGTGGTGTGTCTCATCCAAACTATGTGGAGGCATATTAGTTAGGATCATGGCCAGACTAGCACGAGGCCCTATTTGAAAAAAAACTAAAGCAAAAATGACTGGAGACTTGATTCAAGTGGTAGAGCCCCTGGCTAACCCCAGTTTAAGTCTGAGTTTAAGTACCAGTACGACAAATATAAATAAATACTGCAATGCCTTCCATGAACACTTCTAAATAATTCAAACTTAAAGGTTTTTTTATCCAGCCTCAGGAATTTTAAAAAGTTGTTTGTTTAACTTCTTTTAGGGTAAGAGTAGTCAAGTCTGAAGATGACGTCCTAGCAGTGTGTCCTACAATCCTAACAGAGGATGGCATGCAAGCTCAGCACCTGGGAGCTACTTTAGCCCTTTATCGTTTAGTGAAAGGTCAGGTAAGACTTTTAGGCCTAGATACTTCAGAAATCATTTGTGGACTAATTTATGTATAGGTTGAATATCCTTAATCTAAAACTGTTTGCTTCAAAATCTGAATTTGGAGAGGCGTGACATGACAAGTGGAAAATTTGACATCAAGAAACTTGAATGGAAAAAATTATTTTAAAATGTTATGTCTTATCGTCAGGGTATGTTTATAAGGTATATATGAAACATAAATGGATTTTGTGTTTAGACTTGAGTTCTAACTTCCTATGTATACCTCTATCTATATGCAAATAACCTCAAGCCAAAGGCAAAACATTTCTCATCTCAAAGCATTTTGGATAAGGGATGCTCAACCCTTATATATTAGAATTATATATATAATTATATCATATATAATTATATATATTATATATATAATTAGTATTTGTAAGGTAGTTTTTACTATGGCCCTCTGTTCCAGTTTTACTGTGTATGTCTTCTGATTAATTTTCATTTCTGATTATAATTTCATTTCCTTTCAACTTAAACATAGCTCAGTCTTTCTCTTAAATTACAGGTCTAAAAGGAAAAGTTCCAACTTTTGGATCATTTACAGATAAATAATTGTGTGAACTGGTTAAATTTAAGAGATTTTCTTTTAAGTTTATTTGCCTTTAATGTTATATTGCCTCTCAACTTAGACATTTTAGACACTTAATTTCAGGTTATACCAACTGTACACTTCCAGTTTAAGGAAAATGTTAAAAAAAAAAAAAGTACTACAGAAAGTAGTTCTTTTTTTTTTTTTTTTGTCAGTTGTGGGGTTTGAACTCCGGGCCTGAGCACTGTCCCTCAGCTCTTCAGCTCAAGGCTAGTGCTCTACCACTTGAGCTACAGCGCCACTTCCGGTTTTCTGGTGGTTTATTGGAGATAAGAGTTTCACGGACTTTCCTGCCTGGGCTGGCTTTGAACCACAATCCTCAGGTCTCAGCCTCCTGAGTAGCTAGGATACAGGCGTGAGCCACCAGCTCCCGGCTAGAAAGTAGTTCTTTAAGAGAACACAGGATACTCTTTAAAATTTGGATTATCAACACAGTATTATTTAATCTTTATTTGTATATGTGTGTTTGTGCATGTGTTTCCTTGGGCTTGTCTCTGAACTTTTCTCCTCAAGGCTAGTGCTCTGCCACATGAGTTAAAGCTCCACTTTGGGCCTTTTTAGTAATTAATGGAGATAAGAATTTCACAGACTTTCCTGCTGCAGCTGGATTTGAACAGCAATTCTCAAGTCTCAGCCTCCTGAGTAGCTAGAATTACAGTTGTGAGCCACCATCAGCCTCCAGCTTGTTTTTCTTTCTTTAGAGAAGATAGAACCATTTAAAATTTTAGACACTCAGCCGGACACTGGTGGCTTACTCCTATAATCCTACCTACTCAGGAGACTGAGATATGAGGGTCAGGTTCAAAGCCAGCCCAGGCAAGAAAGTCTGTGAGACTCTTATCTCCAATAAAAACCACTAGAAAACCAGAAGTGGCACTGTAGCTCAAGCAGTAGAGTGCTCACCTTGAGCTGAAGAGCGCAGGGACAGCGCTCAAACCCAGAGTTCAAGCCCTACGACCGACCCAAAAAAAAAAAGAAACAAACAAAAATTTTAGACGCTCATTTAAGTGCAACTCTTATTATTCTTCTTAGTTTCTGCCAGTTCTTAATGTTTTTATTTTGTAAAATAAGTTATCATAAGCTATGTTTACTTGAGAGATAATTGTGAGTTATTTGAGGCACAGAATTTGAAAAACTTTAATTCAGTCTCATGTAGTGCATTGGTCTCTTGTATACAACTGCCCAAATCTCAAAGAGTGTTAGGTATTTTTTTAAGTTTTATGTTCATCTATATTTTATTTAGCCCAACTGCAGAAATAAATAGTTAACATTTATTCTTTAGTTTGCCATACTGTAGAAATAAACTCTTCACATGTGCTAAATTAATACTCAAAGTGTGTGGGGGGAGGAGGCCGGCCTTGGGGAGGCGGAGACAGGACTTTGTTACTAGTCTTTTTTAATGCAGAAACTGAAGCCAGAGAGATTAACTTAGTTTCCCCATCTAGTAATTTTAAAAACTTGAATGTGGCTGGGCGCTGGTGGCTCATGCCTGTAATCCTAGCTACTCAGGAGGCTGAGATCTGAGGATCGCGGTTCAAAGCCAGCCCGGGCAGGAGAGACCGTGAGACT